GGGCGGAGGGATGTCTGGAGGGCGGCGAGCGCGGGCTCGAGCGCAGCCACGTGCGCGTCAGTCAGGCGGAACGAACCCGACGCGAGCCCCGCTAGAAGCTTCTCCACCACGGCTTGCTTGTTGCCCAGGCTGGTGGTGGGGGTGGGGGCGCGGATGGGGGTGGTGGGGGGCGTGGTGGTGGTTGTGGTGGTGGCGGATGCAGCGAGGGGCTTCTGCGATTGCCACGTGGGCTTATTCGCGGGGGACCGCGGGGAGTGCGAGTGCATCGCGAGCACGCTCGACGGGGAGCGCGGCGACAGCCCCGCGGCCGAGAGAAACGCGCCGTCGCTAGACTCCGCCGCCTCGTCGCCGGCCATGTCGTCGTCGCAGCAAGCCACGGCGCCAGACGCGGAGGAGGAGCAGGCGGAAGAAGAGTCCGCGCGGATGGGGGTGGAGGGGGCGGCCCGCCAGTCGCGCGCGAGCAGCAGTTGCACCGCGGCTTCCTGCTCCGCGGGCGTGAGCGGCATCGTGTTGCCGTACGGGCTCGAGTTACACGCGCGGTAAGCAGCGGCGGAAGCGAACGAGTTGTCGCAAGCGCTGGGGGTTGCGCAATCGGTCGTGGGGGAGGGGGACATGGCAGAGAGCAGCGAGCGCAGATACGCCTGCGGCGCGAGCTCCGCCGCTTGCGCCTCAAGCAGCATCCGCCAGCCTTCTTGCGCATCGCGTTGCACGCCGTACCCGTCTATTAGACAGTGCCCCAGCTCGCGCATCGCCTCCGTGTGCCCCAGCGCCGCGGCTCGCGCGCACAACGCGACCCCCATCCGCGCGTCCTTGTGTTGCGCGCCGAGCGCGCTGCCGTTGAAGCTGAGAACGCTGGCCGTGTAGAGCGACGCTGCGTGACCCTCGCGCGCCGAGTGCATGAGCAGCCGGCCGCCCTCGAATTGCGCTCCGGGTATGCAGTAGAATAGAATCTGCGGCGGACGAGACGAGGGATTCGCACGAGGAGAGGCGAGAATGAGTTGACGGAATAATAAGGCAGGGCGGAAACAGCAGAATCAAAGCAAAAGGGCAAGGGGGGAATTCGCAAAAGCATAAGGAGGCAAACCGGACTAGGAAGGATGAACAACGAGAGGGTGGAGGCGGATTGAAAGGGGAAGCCGTGGGAGCATAGGGAGGGGAAGGTGGGGGGGGGTGAGGGGAGGGGTTGGGTGGGTGGGGAAGGAGAAGAAGGGGTGCGAGAAGAAACGGTGGGAAGGGTATGGGGAGGAGAGGAGGGGGAGGTGAGAGGTCGAGAAGCAAGGATGGGAAGAGAGGGGAGGTGTGGGTGGGCCGGGGCGGCAGAGGTGGAGGGGCTGACCATGGCGAGCATGAAGGCGGCTTCGAGGCAGCCGTTTTCGCAGAGCCGTCGCAGGAACATGTACGCGCCCTCGCACCACTGCCGCGCGCGCACCGCCACTCCCCCTCTGCACGCGCGCTTCAGCGCCTCGCGGTCTCTGCTGGCCCGCCGCCACCGCCGATTGCTGCGCGAGGAGGAGGCGACGGGGGCGAATAGAAAGGGAAAGAGGGGACGGACGAATAGGAAGAGGAGTAAGGAGAGGTAAGCAGAGGCTGGACGCGAATGGACGGTACGGGTAGGCAGGACGCGGAGAGGCAAGCAGTCAAGGAGAAGCTCGAGAGGGGAGACAGGCGGGCGGGCGGGCGGGCGGGTGGGTGAGCGAGCGGGCGAACGGTCGGGCGCTTACATCATGGATGGAAGGACGACGTCGAGCGGAGAGGACGCGGTGGAATTGACGGCTGCCAAGACCTTTATCAACACCTCGTCCTGTCATGCGACGGCCATGGAGGGGAGAGAGAGTGACGTGGGGGAGGGGCCGACGGGAGCACAGAGAAGAGGGGAGTGGGAAAGGTATGGTGGGCAGACAATTTAGCTTCGCACGAAGGAGGCGAGTAACGGGGGTCAATTGGAGGAGCGGGTGGAGAGCTGCGTACCGGTAGGCTTTCGATGGTTGTTCGTTTCCTGCTGGGCCCCTCGCTATCGTGCGTTTCTGGCCTCGCCTCGCGATAGCTAGATGCTGTGCTGCAGCAGCTGCTGCTGCTACCGCAGTCGATTCTGCTACAAAACCTGTCGCCGCCGCCATCGCTGGCGCTGCTGCTGCTGCTAGTGCTGGTGCTGCTTGTGCTAGTGCATCGTCGGCTGTCGATAGGTACCGACTCAGGAACAGCTGGCGGGGCTGGGGAATCATCAAGTGAGCTATCAAGGGCTTTCTCGTCGGTGGAATACAAGGCGAAACTGGAAGTTGTCGCCCCCATCTTGCCGAAAATTCCCCAAAAGTCGCTCAGCAGCGCGGCCTAGTGTTCGTCGCTAAGATAATCTTGGGCGGTGACTAGTAGCAAGACCACACCTCTTAGTTCAGCTGTGTGATGTGTCTCCAGGTAAACCAGTCTACACGGGTGAAAACTTAACTCAACTTTCTGGCAGGTCTCCGTTCTAGCTGTAGGGGTTTTGTTGCTGTGGATGCAGCGGACAGCTAAGTCGAGAGGGGGCACTTGGTGAAGCGGAGCGGACAGAAGGGAGAGCAGACGAACGGAGAGAAAGCGGACGTGGCCTGTGTGGTGGATGCGTTGCGTGTTGGGGTTGCTTCTCTGAAGCAGTGTTTGGAAACAGAGTTTCACAGTATCCAGGACGCACTTCAAGCTGCTACGAACCAGTTTTGGTTCTCGTAAGTCCAGGAGTTGCGTACTCTAACTTGTACTTCAGTCGTGTCGTGAGCTACATGGGAACAGGTATGATTTATTGGGGTTTCGCCAGCAGGCCAGGAAAGTCTGGACGAAGCAACAGTCAGGAGCAAAATTTTGGGGAGCAAGCCCACCTGCGGTCTGTGAGGGACTTCGCGCCAAGACGAGCGAAACAGAGGACCTTCGACCCCCTTCACAAACTTCTCACTGTTTCCTTGCAGTCAAATGACCAATACAGTGGTGCATTGAGCTCGGCAATTGCGTGTGATTTGTTTGAAACGTGTACTGTTCAACAAATAAATGATGCGCCGACCACGGGCGAGGGCTGCCCGAAGTGGGGGCAATCCCTCTACAATCTTGAGATTCTGTGGCCTCCGTTGCCTCCTTGGAAGTTACTGCACAAGTGGACGGCAAAACTTCCAACATCCAACTACGGCATGTGAGTCTCGAAAACCCCTAGCCCTATCGGAGTCTACGAAATGGTTAGGGTCAGATCAACTGCTTGAGCGCTGCAAGTCGGGTCGCAGATCACAACAACCACCGCTTTTTCTCCCTTCCCAGCACCAACAGAAGCCAACCTGCGACATGCTGCAACTGTGGCACCTGCCTGTTGTAACTGCACACCTGCGAGTCGATTATCTCACACACGTGGAGCGAAGTGGATCCACGCTCTGCCAGCACTGCTACGGCTTTGGAACCACACCCCTTCGTTGGGGATGTCCAGTCCACCCTCCAACCAACAGGACATCTAGTTGGTTGGAGGGTGGACTGGACATCCCCAACGAGGGTCAATGAAGCTCATACGGCTGACTCTAGGCATGCAGGCGCCACTCATCTTCCTGAAGCACAGCCGTATGGACGAGGGTCAATGAAGCTCATGAGTTCTACTAACAGTCTACACTTCTGCATGAAGTTTGAGACCTGGGATTGATCTTAACGATAAACTAGACACAGTTTCGGATGTATCAATTATAAATTTGGATGACCCTGTATCAATAACCGAAATCTGCGTTTAATGTGTCATATCTGATATCAACCTAATACATACATATATGCGTCTAAAAAAATACATACATGAGTCTGTCTATATCTGCCTAATGGTCATGAAGGGACCGTTTGCGTCATTGCTTACATAAGCTAGCTACTACAGTTGAATTCTATGTAAGCTAGCTAGTACAGTTGAATTCTAAGAAATCCTTGAAACCGGCCAATCTGATAACGAGAATTCCGGTACCTCCAGCAATGCATCAACCGTCGCATCTGGCGGACATGGCAACCGCACGAGGTGCAAGAGGGCGGTGCGAGGGCCATCGCGTGAACCGTGTAAACGCTTGAAACCACCACGAACTGTCTGCAGGCACGACCGACCAGTCACCAGACCACACCCCCGACGCTCTCCAGAAGAGGATGCGATGAGAGCCTTACCAGTGCAACTGACTCGTCACGAGGCGTCACGCGATTCGCCAGCCGTGACGCCCGCTGGAGGTAGACTTTCTGCTGACGAGCTTTGGAAGATGGAATAGACTCACAGCCATATGCTCACCGCGCCGCATCGCGCTTCTCTGCAACCATTTGCACGAGCACTTTCGGCTGGATCATTTCTGTGTGTCTCGTCTCACCGTCCCCGATCGCACGCTTTCCCTTTCTCGCTCCCTTCTCCGCCGTCCGTTGCGTCCCACCAGCACAAAGCACTCATCACTCGTCACTCATCACTCATCACGCATCACGGCCATCGGACGTTTTCCCATCATAAAGCCCCACCGCTACCTTGAGGCGTCGAAAGAGCGGGCCTTATCGTCCTCGTGCCGCGAGTAGATTCTCTCTATTCTTACTTTACTCCCACGCTCACCAACCCATCCTCCCACACACGTAGTGATTGAGAGCGAATTCGGCAATCTGTGTTGCAAGCCGTGCCGTGCTGCCTCTGCGACTGCCACTGCGAGCTGCGAGCTGAAGAGCCACCGCGTGCGACAATACCTCCATACGACTGTGAATCTCCGCCTTCTTAGCCCTCCGCGACATCAGTCCATAGACCCGCTCTCCTCGCCGCTCTCCCAGTTGCCGTCCAACTGCCTCCCACCTCCGTCACAGTCGCCTCCGACCAGTCTCCGACTACCCTCACCTTTCCCCGTGGCAGCACCGCCCTCGTTCTTCACTCCTTTCACCGAATCCTACCCCCTCTCCTCCCTCCGCGTGACCTCACTCCTCCCGGCCGCCCCCACATCCCGCTCCGCCTCCGCGCCTCCCGCGCCCCTTCCGCGCCTCCCCGCGCCGTCCGCTGCGACATGAGCACTCCGCGCCTGGTACTCGCGACGAGCGGGTCCGTGGACAACGCGGGCGTGGGCGTGAGTCCCATCAGCCCCGGCGGCCCGTTCAGCCCCGTGAGCCCCATCTCGCCGCTCAGCCCGGGCATGGTGAGTCGCCAGCGCCTCAGCAGCCTGCAGGAGCGGCGGGGCGTGCCCGTGTCGAACCCTCTGCCTCGCCTGCTCAAGAAGCCCGCCTGGCAGCTGCTGCGTGGTGTCGATAAGCAGTGAGTGCCGTGACACGCACGTGCCTGCATGTGCCCGCCTTGCTTGTTCGAGGGAGGCGTGCTCTTGTCTTGTCCTGATATTTACCTGCTCCACTGGTTCGCCTCATCTCACTCCTTACTCCTCACTCCCCACTCTTCACTCCGCACTCTTCAGTCACCACTATTCACTCCTCACTCTCGTTCTGTACACGTGTGTGTCTGCGTGGGTGTGTGCGTGTCCGTGTGTCTGTCTGCTCTGTGTGTGTGTGTGTGTGTGTGTGTGTGTGTGTGTGTGTGTGTGTGTGTGTGTGTGTGTGTGTGTGTGTGTGTGTGTGTGTGTGTGTGTGTGTGTGGCATGGCAGGTATCGCAGCCCCACGGACATGATGATGTCGCCCGTCTCACAGCAGCTCTCAGGGGTCACGCATCCAATGGTACCACCACTACCACCTCCCCTCACCACTCCTCACCTTTCCTCATCTCTCCTCGCCTCTCCTCGCCTCTCCTACCTCAACTTGTATCCCTGTGAATTCAATCTCCAGCAGAATCTTGTCTCTGTCGTATCGCCTCTCCTTGTCCTTACCCTTCTCTCTGCTAAACCCGCTGTCTATCCGTGCCTTTGAACCGCTCTGAATCCCTTCAGAGGCAGGTGGGGAGGATGTGCCCACAGATGGACAGCAACGGGCCGACTGCTCCTATGGGAATGAGCACCACAGCCACCACATCACGGGGATGACAAGAGAGAGAGAGAGAGAGAGAGAGAGAGAGAGAGAGAGAGAGAGAGAGAGAGAGAGAGAGAGAGAGAGAGAGAGAGAGAGAGAGAGAGAGAGAGAGAGAGAGAAGAAGCAGATGGTGGGACCGATGAATGCATGGTCAAATGGTTGGGTGAAAGGATGGCCCAGATGGGTGCTCTGCTGTTGGCTGTTGTCCCTGCTTGGGTCACTAGCTAGCGCTGATCCCTATGTCCAGGGCGGGGATACTACACTCTGCAATCATCACTCCTTCAGTGATGCTCGCTTACTAGGTGCTTGCCTGCTTGCTTGCTTTCATGTTTCACTTCCAGTTTTTACAGCTGCACACTCGGCAGCAAGTTCCGGCTATTCCCATCTTGATCCGGTACTGGTTGCACCCATGTGACCAGGGTTGACCGGAGATCATGCAGGGCTGTCTTCCTTATACTGTAGTTGCACCATGTGCGTCAATCACCGTATGGGGGACTCTGTGTGTGTGGCTAGGACCCTTAGTATACCTACTCGTGTACAGTTTTATTTTTGGAGAGCTATGGCTCCTTCCTTCCTGGCTAGAACCTTTTACAGCGTCATTCTGTACTGTATGAGCAGTTCACACGAAAGAGTGAGTCTGGAATGAGTGACTTGCCAGCCAGCCCAGCAGTGCCAACCAGACTTGAAACCAGCCTCTGAAACATTTTGGTGCATTATACGGTACTTTCTATAGCACTTTCCGACGCTGTCTGAGTGTTGCTGGTACATACCCCACCTTACTCGTGGAATCTAACCCCCTCAGGGTACACATAGTAACACGCCACTGCAGACTAAAGCACACACTGTACAAGTTTGGCAATACAGCATCAGAGTACGGTACTTGATGGGACTCTCCTATTGAACATGATCTGCCCGGTCCAGTGTCAAGAGAGAAGCTGAGTGAGTGGTCAGGTCACGCTCGCACATAGTACACCTGTACCCCGTCTTCTTCCTGGATGCTGGAGATTTTTAAAAGGCACAGAGCCAGGAAAAGGCGTGGTGGAGAGGGAAGTTTCAAGTAAAGTACAGACAGAGAGGGGAGGGGGTGGGGGATACATGGGAGTATCAGCGCATGATCTAGTATGGAGTGTGTGAGGTGTCAGCAATGTGGAGAGCGGGAAAAGAGACGTGTGGCACCAGAAGGTGGGGTGGGGTGGTATACTGGAAAGAGGGTGGAGGCAGGTGGATCAATATTGTGTGTGCGTGACCGAGCGAGTGTTCGCAGTAACACGAGGACAGAGGAGAGGAAAAGGGCTTTAAAGAGAGTGCAGGCAGGGCAGATGGCTTACGCAACATAGATGATGTAGAAGGCATACACGGCTCCAGGGATATATCTGCCAGCCGAAGCCGTAACGCAGGAGAACATGGAATTTGGAGAGCTTAAAACCGGAGTCCCAAACAGCCCCAAAGTGCCTCAACCTTCCTAACTTTGAGAAGGGGTGACGCAGTAGGTACGACTCACTTCGCAAATCGGGGGGACAATTTTCGTCACGCGAAACTACTGTTCTAGCGAGGACGAAAGCAGTGACGATTTCGCCAACAAATTTGAAGCCCGTCCGAAACTGTCTGCGAACCAGTTCTGATGTTGCATTCCAGATCTGGTTATTTTCACGAAATTTTCTTCCTTTACGACCCCAGACCACCAATTTCGACACCACCCTGGCTCGCGAGCCAGTCACCTTTCTCTCCCCTTTCAACCTTCCTAACTTAGAAACTCTTGGACATCGGGTTTTAAAGCGAGAATCTGGAGGGCTTAAAGCGAGTCATGCGGCGGCTGTGTTGCGAGTCAACAGAAAATCAGTAGCCAGAGCGATTGATGGGCAGGAAGAGAGAGAGAGGGAGAGAAATAAAAAGCCCTGGCTGTAAATCTGCTCTTTGTAAGCGCATAAAGAAAACGCAGTTGGTCAGCTGGAAGCAGCAGCAGAGTGTGAAAGCAGAGTGTGAAACTGGGATGTGGCTCACCCGAGAAAGCTAAGGAGAAGACAAAGCTGAGCGGCGGAAGACATGCACCATGAGAAGCAGCGGAAGAGAGTAAACAGGCAGGGAGGGAGGGGGAGAGGGGGGGAAGGGGGGAGAGAGGATAGGGGGCACAGAGCGAACGAGTGGGGACGACAGATGCGTTAAAAAAAGCAGAACAAGCAGAATTGGCAGAGACGGCGCCACGACAAGGAGCAGGAAAAGAAATTTCAACGTTAATCAGGATGTGGCTAGTCTAAGCTGGTGACGGGAGGCAACGTGCACACGAACACGACAATCGGAGCAGGAAAAAAAAATGAACGAAGGGCCAAGGGATCATGAGTCCCAGGTCTAGCCAGAACAAGACTATGAGAAACAGCACGTCCGTCACTCCGTCGCTCACCCAAAATTCAAAGGAGCAGCCGAACTTGATTATCACGCCAAGAGGAGGAAGCAACAGCGCTATAAGGAGGATCAGGAAATCTCCGCATGATAGTCGAGCCATGGTTGCAGCAAGAACGATATGCGACGTTGCGGAAAGGAGTGACAAGGAAAGGTTCTCGAGGAGATGCGTATGGGACTAGACCCCCTTATCCCACACTACACCTGTTCTCCGATATTTCCGCACCCTTTATCTTCACGACCTGGGGTACCTACCCTCGAAAAAACCGATTTCGAAGGTAGTTATCAACGCTCGAAGAATTTTCAGGATTAATGTAACACAATCTCAATGCGAGCTTAACGCAGGAACAATCTGGCACTGGAATTTTCCCCGCTCACTCGAACTACAAAGTTCGAGTTTCGAAAGGCCTTGACCTGGTGGTTATTTCCTGATAGGCCCGCAAGGTCAGGGCGTCTGTCTCATCAAGCCTTCAACCATGTAGGGTGTCTGAGAAGAATCAAAGTTCAGGGTGTGGAAATATCGGAGAACAGGTGTAGCAGTCATTGTAAGCTGTAACCTGACTCGGGTATAAGGGGTGGGGGATGGAACAGCGAAAGCTAAGATACTTGCGAAAGCCGTCCAGCTTCGCAAACCTACTTGCGTTATAAAGCATAGTAAGCAAAATTCCTTTCAGCTGATTTTACGGTACTGATGGTACACTGAAAGTGACGCGAAAATAAGAAAATTTCACAGTAACCTTAGGAAAGGGAACTGTCAGGTGGTCCAGGTGAGAGGATTCTAGGCTAGAAGCTCACAAGGATGCTTACATGAACCACCATTATTACTTCTTTTCTGACGGAAGTACCCTATGTGAAAGGTCATTACTAGGAAAACAATATTAATAAGGTTCATGTTAGTGACATTTAAGACGAGATGGGGGGGAGGTCAAAATCTCAGCAGTGACTCTTCGCCTTCGCCCGTCAAGATCGCCTTCCGCAAAAAATCCCGGGTGGCCTTTTGCATCCCCTCTCATGCTGTGTATGCCGGTGTCTGCTCAGTCCCAGTTCCACACTTGACAGTATCTCTCATGCATGGCCTCCAGCTGCACCCCCCCACCCCTGCCTTGAACCTCCTCCACACTCACGTGTGTCATCATGATGGCAACAGCCTGCTACTGCTGCCACTCCTCCTCCGCCTGCCCTTGCGCCACCGTTGCCGGGAGCATGCCACAACGCTCAGCACACCCGCCACTGCCACGAGCAGCAGAGCAGGCTGCAAGAGCACAAGCATCCTCCCATCTCCTATGCTCACCGGACCTGCTTTCAAACGACCCTTCTCATTCTCCCCATCCCAGTCAGCTCGATTACCATGCTCCCCTCCTTTCTCCTCTCCTTCCATCGGTCCTTCCCTTCCTCTCTCACCCGCCTCCCCACTTCCGCTTAAAGTCTCTCCTTCTGTAGTTCGCCCCTCTCTATGCTCCCTCGGGGTTCGTTCATACACCGCTTCCCTCATAATGTCAGCACTGCGAGGCGCCCATCCGTATCGCATTCCGCGCCACACCTGCACGGAGAGGTATGCGGACGAGCAGAGCGCGAACCCGAGCACCACCAGCAGCGCCGCCAGCGCGCATCTTCTCCTGCGCGCAGCGGCGGAGACGGGCGGGGAGGGCGTGGTGGCGGCATAGAAGGCGGCGGAAGCCCAGTCGTGCTGGCGCCTGCGCTGGTACTCGCGCAACTGCTCCGCAATGTTGCTCCGCGTCAGCTTCGCGTGCGGGCGCGCGGACGACAGGCGGTAGAACGGCGCAAGGAAAGCGCGGAGAGGGTAGAAGAACGACGGGGAGGGAACAGGGGACGGGGGAGCCTTGCGAGTCAAGGGAGAGGGAGGAATGGAGACGTAGATGGATGGAAGGGGCCTGCGACTGCTGCTGCTGCTGCTGCTGCTGCTGTTCCTGCTAGTGCTGGCGACACTGCTGCTGCTGCCACCGTTGCCACCGGTGCTTGCAACACGAGCAGCGCTAAACGTGCTGTTACTGCCACTGCCGTTGCCGCCACTGCTGTTGCTATTCGCGCCGCTGCTGCCGCCGCCGCCAGAGGCGACGGACATCCGCGCTACGCGGGTCAGCCGCGCGCGGGCGCAGCGCTGGATTCGAGGAGCGGCGGGCGACCAAAAGCAGCCTGCGGAACAGAGCAAGTGACGATCTGACACGTCGTTCCTTCTGCGACACGTTTTTCGCGTGCACTAACGTCAGCGATCGGGCGCGACAAGCGGCCGCGACGACTTTCGACTGCCGACTAGCGTCTCTCGAGAAACGACCGGGCTCTGGTTTGTACCTATATTTCCTGTCTGGGCGGACTGTCCGAGTGAAAAGCGGGCTTTCTTGGATTCAGAAGCTTGACTGACCGTGACTGAACGAGTGAATGCCTGACTTGCGGGCTGTGGAGAGTTTGAGGCTGACAATATCAAGGAGCTGCCGCGACTGGAGCAGATGAAATCTGGTTGGGCGCTGCTACGCGTTATAAGCTCAATGGCTATCCCGCCTTGAGGTCCTCGAAACTCCACTCCCAATCCATCCATCCGCCTCCTGCCAGAACATTTCACTCACTTTTCAAACTGCCCCCTACAAAGGACGAATGGTTT